TTAACAGTTTTACATATTAAACTGACTAAATTATTGAGGTCTTTCAGTCATGTCAAACAGACGAAAGTGGATCAGTTAAGTCATTTGGTGGGTCAGTATGCCATAAATTTCCAAAAAGATTACATTATTTTGCTCCATATAGAAATTTACATTTCTTATTTCTGTATTTTTATTGTACTTCTATATATTATATTAATTAATTCTTATCTCGTTATCAGAATTCTTAGATCTGTCACTAAGTTAAGTCGATTATAGTTTTGGCTGAAATTTGAGATGTAAGGACTAAAAAACCGAAGGTTTAGGTTTGAAGAAGTGGTAACAAAAGAAAAATAGAGGTAAGATTAAATATTAACCAAAGTTTTTGTGTTAACTTTACAAACCATTTCAACCAATCACAATCCATGTTTCTATTAGGTTTTTATCTAGCTTACAATTTAACATAGATTGTTCTGCTTAGCTAAAACGAAAAGCTTTTCGAATAAGTGAAGGTGACAACTCTTACTCGGCTAGCGCTAATCGAATAAATAGTTACACACGATGTCGAGTGAGAGTGTTGACTCTTACAGATAAACGTTTAATTGAGCTTTTAGGTAAACGGTCCCTTAAATACATTTTATAGATAATGGTGGGTATTCACGTCAATTTACAAACAAATTAACTGATTTTACGAAACTTTGTTAAGTTAACAGTCAGACAAACTTACTTGAGCTTCGATAAACTCAAAACTTTGAATTTTGTCATGTGAATAGCTACCAAGGTCACGGAGATCTGCACATAACAAGTATGTGGGACCATCAATGTGTACGGAAGAATCAAATCAATACTATTTCAATCCTCATCCATTAATCCTTTTTAATAAAATTACAAAAATACCCCTAACCTTATGTTTGTTGGACTCTAACGTCGTTTTCGTAGAAATGTGTCGTCTTTATGTGTGTTGTTAATAATTACGAACGTTTGGTTTACGATACATAAAAGTCAGTATGGTTTTTTGCTCATTTACTTTTTGTTTGTCTGTGTTTTATTTTGTATCAGATGGTGTTATTTGAATTCTTTTTGTATTATGGTTGTACTTTTAATCAGATATCGTCTTTTGTTGCAACTGAGTTTCAAGGACCAATGCAATATTCATTAATACTCAAAACACACACAAAAGGATCAGAGCAAAAACCGGAATCATATCGAAAGACGGTAGCAAGTGTGCACAAAAGATCGATGCCTCTGTTGCTGATATCTCTTCTTTCTTGCTCGATCGCCAAAAATACTGTAGAGTAGTAGTCATGTCTCGTTTTGCAAGTTCGCCTTGACCCAGATCAAGAAAATCTGTAACAGTTGCAAGCATTTCCCTACACTGTTGGAAATGATCATATCACACGACTACTAATTTATCATAAATATAATTTACAACCAATCAGTATATGGGAATTAAAACATTTGACCTGACTTAGAAAATCTATATCTGAAGTAATTAACAACAGATATGCGAAGAGTTTTTGCAAACGAGTCTTTAAAATCTGGTTTGACAGCAAAAAAAAAATTGTTCTTGTGCGGTGCTATGGGACACTCGTACCACATACCATAAGAACGTCCAAAATCATTCTTTTATGAAAATATGTCAGATATGTTCATTGAAAAGCACTATACATCAAAGAAAACGAAAATTACGACATCTGAAACTCCACTACGGATGTCTGAATTTGATCTGATAAAAATATTTTCTTTTTCCAACTTTTTTTTTAACTTTTTCTTATATTTTTAAGTCAGAAGAACATTTTTTATGAAACCATTACATAATCCATAAAAATATGAGATCATGACATCTTTATATCGAAACAACTTACGATATTTTGAATCTTATCTTTTTGACTTTTGGTTGTACAAATATGATGGGTTGCATTTGAAACGTCCTATATATATATATATATATATATATATATATATATATATATATATAGGGTTGGGTTCACGTGA